GGTGGGAAAAGATCTTGATCGTCTGGAAGGAGCGTTGAGGGTAGTTGCTGGGATTGGAAACAAGGATCAAGAATTAGTGAGCACAACTTGGAATCCAGAAGAAAACTCTGAATTGGTCACTTGAAAGCAGAGATCGCGTCTAATGCCTGTATGGGGAAAAGTTCGAAGTAATGTTTGGTTTGGCAGGGAGGTTGCAATGGCGGGAGGATGATATGGGAAGGATACATTCACCATCTATGCTTGAGATGTCACTGGGCTGAGCTTTGATGACTGGGTTAGCCATCACTGGCAGTCTAGGGTGTCACCATACTCAGATACATACCAAAAGTCCAACAATACTCCAAGCGAAGGCACTCCTAAGGTGTCTGACTTCCCAAGCGATGCTTAACAGGCTCACTTCGAAAGCTAGAAGACTACCTTCAAAGCCTGCAGCCTGGATCAATGAAGTCGTAGGCAACCACACCTATAATCAATGCGCAATGTGGAGAGGCCCTGAGCACCTCTTGAGGTATGAAAGCGTATATATCAAGAATTGGGATTTTTATCGGCGCTGTGCGTGTAACGCCTCGGTTCCGCGAGGTCACATAATATCAAACAGAACTGCGAGTATGTAAACACCACAAATTTGTAAAGATTTCTTTCTTCCTTACCAATTCCATCAGTATTACGTTTTATATCAACATTTTTCTTCTGATCGATTGTGTCAAACAGTAAGGCTTTTAACTTATATTTCATGCTGCATAGAATATACTTCGAACCAAGAAAAGGGTCCACTCATCTTCTTGTAAGAATTACATGAGAAGGCAAATCAGTAATCGAACATCATAAGGAAGTATTAACATAGACACTAGTTGCGAAGCTATAAGGTCAAGGCCAACTTGCTGTGCCAGTCAACAGATTGATAAACTAGTTCACACCTCTATCTTGTAACGCCGTAGCAGCAGAATCTCGATTGGTAAAAGGCTTCTCACCGAAAGAGAAGGTCAAATGTATGTAAACACATTTAGCATGCTGACAACTTGTAATCAGTTTTCTATGCAACTATACTGCCTTCTGCATACTGAACCTTTGCCCAGGCTGGACCAAGATCTATATGACCTCTCTCCCTACCTTTGACTGCAACATAATTGGCTGTCCTACAAACCATGCTTGTTCCTGTTTAGTCGACACAACGGTAGATATGGGCTTGGATTCTTTGTTGGTTCGAGTGAGGGGATGTCAGTATGCTATATGTGGGGGTGTCTCTGATACAAGCTTATCAACAAGCCGTCTTCAATATCTGTGTTGCATTTTGATGGGGAATGTAGAGTTTATCACGTAGATATCTCAAATTGATTCGAAGTGGTTAGGATGAGATACTGTAGGAGGGAAACCTGACGCAGGGCTGCATATCACGGGACCCTGATTGCCGTGTAAGAACGCCATTTACATAAAATATCGGAAGACAGCAATTTGTCCAACTATGCACGGCACTACATATATGACCACTCAGTCGCTCTGTTCTGTTCCATTCATACCTTCTGTAACTTTGCATCCAGTGGACGAAAACTTCGTGACTGCATCTTCCGAGGCTCAGGCGGACTCGCTTCCTCTGCGAAGCATGCTTGTTTGCCTCTCTTTGATATATATACATTGATGGATTGATGCCAGATTCGGATAGTCTGACGGGACTCAGAATGAGTAAATCAGTGCCCCAAAAACGAGCACGTAGCGCTAAAGCGACTATGGAAACCTTCTTGAGTCGGTAACGTATGGATGGGTAGTTGTGACCACGGGGCCCTCGGTACCGGAATAAATTATGAGCTATCGGCACGGAAATGATATCCTAGCGATTGAGGGAACTCGACTGAGGTAATCAAGGGGTGAGATGATGCTATTGGTGATGTAAACAGAAGGAATGGAGTCTTGCTCTGCATCTCCATGAGTAGCAGACGCAGTAATGACCTTTGTACAAATTACCCCAAGGTCCGGTCAGTGTAAGATAGTCTAGCCGACAACAGGAAGCGGGGGCGTTCCGGATGCGCCGATCACCTGACCCTCTCTAAGCGCTAGTGTCTCTCCGCTATCCCGCTTCCAGCCCCGATAGTGAAGCTGACGCCCCCCCCCCCCCCGATAAGGAGTTCCCTACACGTCATCGCTGTGATGCCAGCTAAGTAACAAGTACGTACTCAGTCGCCAAAACGTCCAGTTCAGCCTCAAGCAGGGATGCGAAACATCTCTATCAAAGTCTCCATAGAAGACACTCCCCGTATCCTGGAGTTTATAGCCGGAGCAGTGCGAAGTAGGAACACGAGCGAGGACTCAGTCTTGTATCCGGGGTGAGATGCCGACTGGTGGCGTCAGTGGCGGATGCGGACGGGCGTTGCCCAGACCGTTTCACTGCGGCCGGAACTGATAGTTACCAGGCATTCTTCCATCCCCCTCGGTCTCTGGCGACTCTATCCTTTCATGTGGCAGACGCGGCTGAGCATGGCGATTCTTTGCCTGAACCCAGTTAGAAATTTTTCTTGTACCAAACAGGCTGTTTTGGTTGCGTCCAGGTGAAAGATAAGCAACTGCCCGGGAAGCACTGGGTGAGTTTTGAGTCACCCAACGGATACGGCGTAAGTTTCTAGTAGATTCCTCCTAAGCGCGCAGGAGGTGAAGTAGATTGGAGGAGCCAAATGACGCAGGAAGGTGGCAGCCACTAACTTTCCATATTCATGATTAGTAGTGCGAGAATGGGCCAGGAGATGCTAGAATCAACAGGGGCGCTGACACTGACTAACACGGTCCTCTACATACATAGTAACTCACCAAGCCGACTAACCCGGCCTGAACTGGCTCTCCATTTACTGCCCAGTGCCTAATTAAGTATTCCTTCCTTCCCTTGCATCACGTTATCGGGCCTGGTTGCCTATCACTGTCCTGTTTGACTCTGACTAAGGCGCTTCGCCTCCGCCGCCGCCTCCCCTCATCTCTCCCTCTTCGCCCGACTACTTAAGCCTTCTTCTCCTGCTTTCATCCACTTTTTTCTTCCTCCTTCCATCATCCATACCTTTGTCATTACACAGATTCATCTGTGCTCTACTACCCACACTTTCCTCTCACACAACCTTATTATCCTTTCACACCGTTTACTGCAGTCTTCTAAACGTCTTCCATCATGCAGATCTTCGTCAAAACGTGTAAGTATCTCATCATCGGTCCAACGGTTTGAGGTCAATTCTGACGCCACCTTTCCCTTCTTAGTGACCGGCAAGACCATCACCCTTGAGGTTGAATCGAGCGATACCATCGACAACGTCAAGTCTAAGATCCAAGACAAGGAGGGTATTCCTCCTGACCAGCAGCGCTTGATCTTCGCTGGCAAGCAGCTTGAGGACGGCCGCACTCTATCCGACTACAACATCCAGAAGGAGTCTACCCTTCACCTTGTGCTCCGCCTTCGTGGTGGTATGCAGATTTGTAGGTTCCCTTGCAGCAACATGGATTTGCCACCCAGGTGGCCGTGAATACTGGAACGTCTACTGACCTCATCGCAGTTGTCAAGACCCTCACTGGCAAAACTATCACTCTTGAGGTCGAGTCGAGCGACACTATTGACAATGTTAAGTCCAAGATTCAGGACAAGGAGGGTATTCCTCCTGACCAGCAGCGCTTGATTTTCGCCGGCAAGCAGCTTGAGGATGGTCGTACCCTTTCCGACTACAACATTCAGAAGGAGTCTACCCTTCACTTGGTCTTACGTCTGCGTGGTGGTATGCAGATTTTCGTCAAGACACTCACTGGAAAGACTATTACCTTGGAGGTTGAGTCATCCGACACGATCGACAATGTGAAGAGCAAGATTCAAGATAAAGAGGGCATCCCCCCGGACCAACAGCGCCTGATCTTCGCTGGAAAGCAGTTGGAAGATGGCCGGACCCTCTCTGATTACAACATTCAAAAGGAATCTACTTTGCACTTGGTATTGCGTCTCCGTGGTGGTATGCAAATCTTCGTTAAGACGCTCACGGGAAAGACGATCACTTTGGAAGTTGAGTCCTCAGACACGATTGACAACGTCAAGAGCAAGATTCAGGATAAAGAGGGAATCCCCCCTGACCAGCAGCGTCTCATCTTTGCTGGTAAGCAGTTGGAGGATGGTCGTACACTCTCGGACTACAACATTCAGAAAGAGAGCACACTGCACTTGGTTCTCCGCCTTCGTGGTGGGAACTGATTCCTTGGTTCTTGCACAGTTTCAGATTCACAGGTTGAATGGACTGCATGGCGTTCGGAAGGGTTTTGATGGCTTTTTATGACACGGTTATTTCGAACATACCTCTTTGTATCACCATTTATTTGGTGCTCTCTTTGCTTCACAGAATATGACAATCATCAGATTATAACAAATTCGGCTTCTTTTACATCTCGTAATGACTTTCGATGTCTAGGACGTAGTATGTGTACACCGGCTTGTAAATAAACATCGCTTCAGAAGCTCTTGTTGGGTGCTTTGAGTCCCACTTGCCACCCCGGATGACCCACACGTGATCCCCGGGCAATCCCGTCGGCGGCGAGAGACAGCCCACCGGTTAGTGGCTATAATCCACACACGACGAGTTCAAGAATTCGCAGACCAGCAAGGAGAAGAGATGTGAGCAGTGGTCGGTATGCCCTCATATTTCTATCACCTCGCGGTTGAAGTATTTGCTCGCCCTCATTCCGATCTCAGAGGCGCCAGTGTAGGCGTAGACCGACACTCTACTTCCTTGTCATTCGACTCCGCATGTGAAGCTCTGCTTCCATTTCAGAAACGCCCATGCCCTTCACAGAACGGGGCCAATCGATACGATCGCCAGCATCTGAATGGGAAAAGATATCAGAGCTCATCACCGCTAGATAATTCCGCTGATTCCACTCACGCCGCCGCCACAAACACATCTACCCCTCCCCTCTTCACCACATCCTCAACAAGCGCATCGGAACTCGAGCAGGACCTTCGATTAGACAAAGTCTCGATCGAGTGCATTGACATGATCCCATCGGAACAGGAGACGGCTGTCTCGAACCGGACAAGCTGGCGGCCATCCCGCGACAATCCCATCGCGACCGGCATCGGAACGGATATCTTGGGTGGACTTCGCACGAAAGGGAAATACATACCGCTGGACCAAAGCGCATCGGAGAGCGTCTGGGGGATAGTACATCTGTACCGTGATGTGCATGAGACACCATACTTGATCGAGGATGACTATCCTGCCGAATTGAAAGGGTCCGCTGCCGCGGCGAGACAGCCATTTGATGAGAGGGGCAGTAGTCGAGCCTCGCGCCAGGAGACCATGCCGAACGAGGACTGCACCACACTATGCATCCTTGCCGTTCCGTCGTACATGTCCCCGTCTGACCTCTTGGGATTCGTGGGCGAGACAACGATGAACGACGTCAGTCATTTCCGGATGATCAGGACAGCTCGAGCAAATCGGTACATGGTTCTGATGAAGTTCCGCAGTGGGAAGAAGGCTAAAGAATGGCAGAAGGATTGGAATGGGAAGGTGTTCAATAGCATGGAGGTAAGCTTAGTCCTATGGTGCAGCCGCATGGCACGCACGCACATGCGAGGAAAATGATGCTAACCGCCCTTGCTTCCGACAGCCCGAAACATGCCATGTCGTTTTCGTGAAGACGGTCGAGATCCAAGCTGTCGGGCCGGCGACACTCTCTGAAGGCAGCAGTCAGCAGAGTGCGCTTGGATCTCCTCACAATACTACGGCCACTCCGGTTCGCACAGCGTCCGCTTCCACCTCCGCCGCTCCTTCGGCCACGCTCTCGTCCCGACCCCTCGCCCCTCCCACTCCCGCACTCATCGAGCTACCAACATGTCCCGTCTGCCTGGAACGGATGGATGAGACAACCGGTCTACTGACGATCATTTGTCAACACGTCTTCCACTGCACCTGCCTACAGAAATGGAAAGGCAGCGGCTGCCCTGTGTGCCGCTACACCCAACATGACCTTCGTCGAAGCAGCCAGGGGGCGATGGCTGCCGAGGACGAATCAGCCGAATGTACGGTTTGTCATTCCGACATGAACCTCTGGGTCTGTCTCATCTGCGGTAGCGTCGGCTGCGGGCGGTACGATGGCGCCCACGCCTTCGCGCACTACAAGGAGACATCGCACGCCTTTGCGATGGACCTCGCCACGCAGCGCGTCTGGGACTACGTCGGCGACGCCTACGTCCATCGCATCATCCAGAGCAAGACGGACGGTAAACTCGTGGAGCTCCCCGCCGCGGACAACAGCGCCCTCGACCCCCCGGACTGGACGGACGCCGTGCCGCGCGAGAAACTGGAGAACATGAGCGTGGAGTACACGCATCTCCTCACCAGCCAACTGGAGAGCCAGCGCGCCTACTTCGAAGAAGTGGTCGAGCGCGCCGTAGACAAGGCCTCGCAGGCTAGCGCGGCGGCGTGCACCGCGCAGGAAGCCGCATCGCAAGCGGTCACGAGTCTGCACAAGTTGCAGACTCAGTACGTGAAGCTCACGGCGGAGACGATCCCGGGCCTGGAGCGGGATAAGTCCCGCGCGGAGAAGCGCGCGGAGCGGTTCGAGGCCATGGCGCGCAAGTTGGAGAAGGAATGGCGGGAAGAGAAGACGATGAATGAGAGCCTGATGGAGCGCATCCAGCATCTGAGCGCCGAGGTGGAGGGCCTCAAGGTTGCCAATGCAGACCTGACTGAGCAGAATCGCGACCTCACGTTTTTCATTAGCGGCTCCGAACGGTTGAAGGACCAGGGCGAGGATGTGCAAGAGGGGACGGTCAGTGTACCTGATCCGCCTAGTGGTGGTAGGAAGAAGAAAGGGAAGGGGAGGAGGAAGTAGAAGTAGTGGTGGGAGTGGAGCTGGCTGTAGATGGTGTACGATAATGCCATCCTTCCACAGTCCCACACTTTGGAACCGCAAGAATCCAAATGCTATTCTTACAATAATTGCATTGAGGCAAGAGTCCGTAAAACATTGGCTTTAATTCTGCAACATCACAAAAAGTCCGGTGGTCTATCCCTATACAGGTACAGTACATTCAATAAGTACATAAATTTTTATCTATCATACAATCCCTCTCACTTCCACTGTGGTGAATTTAGTAAGCCATTTATGCGTAGCCATCTCTCTCTCTCTCTCTCTCTCTCTCTCTCACCTCAGCGTTGAATTTCAAACCCCCTTCCGAACCGCCCAGAAGTAATTCCCCCAACTCTCCGATCCAGGCACCAACTTCCAACCGAACCCAGGGAAATACACCACGCCGACACACTTCCACCGCATCCCCTCCAGCGCCGCGGCGCCCGCCCGCACCGCCCGGCCATCCGCAGCGCGCATCAGCCCCTCCTGCACCCACCCTTCCAACTCCCCCGGGTTCACGAACTTCTGCCACTCGTGCGTGCCGCGCGGCACGACGCCGATGGGCCACGGCGCCTCCGCGATGACCTGGTTGACCAGCCACGAGGGAAAGGTGCGCGCGATGGTCGAGCCGATCAGCCAGCCGCCGGGCCGCACGAGCCGCAGGCAGTCTGTCAGGAATGATTGCGGGGTAATCCCCGCCGACGGGGTGGATTCGATGTGTTCGATTACTTCGAAGAGGGTGACGATGTCATATTTCGGAGAAATAGGGGTAGTGGGAGAGGTGGGCGAGGTGGTAGAGGTGGAGGTGAGTGTTTGTTGCGAGGCGATGAGGTCTTCCAACGTGCAGTTCTTGTACTCGAAGCGGCCGCTGCGGAGGTGCGCGTCGACCGTGGGATCGAGCCGGGCGTGGTCGCGCGCGATCTGGATTAGGGTCGTCGAGGGGTCGATTGCTGTGATGGAGGCGGCGCGCGTCGGGGTCGCCGTTTGACTGGTGGGCGAGGTGCTGATGCTGCGCGCGAGGGACTCGGCAAAGATGCCGCCGCCGCAGCCGATGTCGAGGTAGCGGAGGGTGTTGGGGTTGGTTGCGGGGGGGAGGCGGAGGAGGCGGCGGAAGGTGTAGGAGGAGGAACGCCTTCGGAGAGACAGGAGGCAATGAAGTCGTGGCGCAGCGGGTTCATGAGATGAAGCACGCGCGATGGGCCCTGGGGATCCCACCAGCTGCTGGCCAGGGCGGAGAAATGCGAAAGCTCATTTGCGGAGACAGAGCTGGTGGAGTGGGCACGACGGGTCGCAAGGTTATTGAGGGTGCGCAGAGCGCGGCGGGATGCCATGGTTTCTGGTGATTTCTGGAGGAGAGATTGTGTTCTTCGAAGGAGGTGTGTAGATTGGAAGAGTATTGATTGCCTGGTTGGTGTCTGTTAGCTTCCCGGGGAAATATGTACGTCGGTTATGTGATACTCGTACGGGCCTATAATAGTCGGGTCAAGGCTGTGTTCATGGTCAATGACTTGAAGGTATTGAGTTTCTAAAGGTGATTTCTCTTGCTACGCTGGGCAGAATTGAAGCCGAAGTTTGGTCCGCAGAACAGTCGGCGATGCGGAAAGCGGCGGGTTGAACAAACATGCCAAGCCGTGTTGGATGTTTGGCCACATTGGCCAGTTGGTGCTTCTTGACAGTTTAGCACTTGTCTGGTTGCATAAGCCACACTTTACTTTTGGGATCTCCCATCTTGACAGAGAAACTCCCTCTACAGGTAACGATGGCTCTCGTACTGTTCAGTCAGTACACTCAAATGACACAAGGTACGAGTCAGTTTATTCAATTGGCTAACTCACCGTCCACCGCTCTTTCGTTGCTAGACTCCAGTTTTCCGAACCAACCCTAACTAACCAAGCCAAACCCAAGAGAGGAGCCACCTCCGTCGATGTCGGTGTGGCGTTCTACTGAACAATACGTACTCGTACAATCAGCAACATCTTCTTTCCCCTTTCTCTCTGGTCTCCAACCAACTCACGAGTAGTGGCGCAGATTGGAACACAGAAGGAGGGGTGATTAGAGAACCCCTCCCTTTCTTCATTCCCCCCTCTCCCTATTCCACTACTTCCCTAATTTGAAATTCTTCTACGCTGCTTCCAGAAACATTCCTAATTTAGCGCTATGGAGTCCAGCACCATAGTCCTCCACCCGGGTAAGTAGGGTTATGGGGCTCTGGTCTCCCCTTTTTTCGTGTCATTGTGGATGAGCTGTCAAGTCAAGACTCGACACCACGAATCGAATCGAGGCCTCCTTCATTCGTGGATCATTATTCCTCGGAAGAAAGTTGTGCGTGGATGTCTCCGCGCTGGACGGCGGAGAGGAGAAATTGATGCTGCTTCGGCCGGAGTCTAGTGCTGGAAAATGACGGTGAAGGAGGGATGGGAATCGGGGAGGAGACGGGGACAACCACGCTCACTTTACCGCTTAGAGTCTTAGTCCTCACTTTCTAGTGTCCAGGTGGCCTCATTTTCCGGATGCCAGACTGACGATCAGGGTCGGTATGACGGATTGGGGTTGGACGGGAGCTGAGGCAGAGAAGGCACTATAGCCTGGTAGAGTAAGAGTCTATGTTGGTAGTTCGAATAGGATGTCGATCAAGCTAGGATAGAGACAAGACGGTGTGGGAGACACACCTGAGGACTCGGGGCAGACCTGCAAGAGCTTGCTTGCACTGGTTCAACGGTAGCTAGCCGATAGGTTTCGAAATTCGAATACTATGTGATTGTCAATTAAGCACTAATTTAGTATGGGTAACGTTAGTCCAGAGAACTTAATAATGATCTCCGTATACCACTCTGGGTATAAGGCCATCGATAGGTATAGTAGTGGGAGGCGAATATTGCCGAGGCACGTCAGGTATGCTTTCAGTCCTGCGAAGGGCTCTCTTCCTTTTCTACCGGATAGGCCGTGCTAGTTGCCTGATGAGGGTTTAACCGGAAGGTTCCATACAAAACATGGCTGCAACTTGAGGTAGGTAGCGTTCGAATGTAGTTACTGTGCTCCGTACTGCTATGGATTATGTTTGCATTGAGAACGGAGTTCAAACCAACGGAACCCAGACTCAACTCTGGCATCTGGCAGCTGTGGGACATTTCCAAATCGGGTAGGAATGACAGTGCTCAGCTGGCACAAAGTCTTTCCTAGGCGTGAAAACCTCGTTCGAGAGAAGTGTGGCAAGCAAGGTTGGCAAATAAGAATGAGAGAAACCAAAAGTGAAAAGAGTTGCTCAGTGCTCAACCTGCAGGCCGATGTCATCTATCGACATGAATCTGATACTTGCCTGGTCCAAGCGCGGAACACCACCGGAGATGCTTCTTCTACATTTCTGCATGAGACTGCTGCTTATACAAGCCTCCCTCAACAATCTGACGGCTGTTTACTACCCACGCACTACTAGACGCATACCTCATCGTTCTTAGACTCCCAGCCACCATGGATTTCCCCCCCTATTCTGCTTTAGGCAGTGCAGTGGAAAAGCCTGGAGCGCAGTTGGCGCACTTCAAACCAGCAGATGAAACCTCAACCGACCAGTCGCAATGAAGTTGAACCCGCTCCATCCAATCGTACTGCCTTCTGATTGATCCCCCCCTCCCTGTTACAACTGCAAGAATTGCTTTAATTAATTGAAACGGCAGAGAACGTCATGCTATGGAACACTCCTCAATCGATTCCATTCTACCTTCCTCCCCTCCCCCTTGTCAAAACTCCGAGCACCCCTGACTCCCTGAGTCTCATTGCCTTACGTGTGCCAAGTCAAAGGAAACAAAGACCTCGATTTAGGAAATGCGACAGGGCGATCTGCGAGATTGCGATGGAAATACGAATATCATTCAAAGGAAAAAAAATACCACCATTAACATACGGTGGCCCAACGCCCCGAGACGGGAAGACAAGCGTGGGGCCCAAGAAATCATTTTCATTCTGATCCACGGCCAACACGGACGCTCCAGGGATGACCGGCAACGATGACGATGCGGACGGATCGTGATCATGATAATAATCCCATTCTTTGGTTCGCCTAGGGTGATTAGGATGACACTCTGACCAGCGCATGATTCTTTGCTGCTGAGTTTCTCCGTCTTCCGCGTCTTTGATTCTGTAGTGAAGAGATGGAGATTATAGGAACGTTTCTTTCGCGCTTGTCCCGAAGTCATAAATACAAACGCACACACGCATACACATCCGAACAGAAGATTTGAACCCCAGACAGGGATGTGACACGGGCGTCAGGAGAAAAGACATGGCCACCCACCGGCCACTTACCGGCATTGAAGGTGGGTGACGCAGCCGCACTGGCACATGGGAAGAAAGGCCTCTAGAAGCCTTCCTGACCTTCCATGCCCCCCTTCCGACTTCTTCTAGAAGCTCATGGGAAGCCCGTCCCCCCTTGGCACTTTTCCTCCATTGGCCAGATTGGTCTTGGTGCGATACTGGTAATCCAGTAGTGTGTCTCGTAGTGGAGCCACTTTCTGCACAAGGGAAAAGAAAAACACAGGTCAGGGTCAAGAAGGGGAAAGGAGAAGTTGACTCAAGGAGAGGGTAAAGCCATCCATGATCGGGGGGATTGATAGGTCTTGCATCAAGGTTACGACTGGTATTAGAGACTGACCCCGTTCGAATTCAAAAAAAGAAGAATGAGGAAATAGAAGCATCATCATCATCATCATCATCATAATCATCATCACCATCACGATCATGGGCACTCATCTGTCTACCGGGAAGCGAGAAACAATGGACCGAATCGGAGACCCGGAAAAGGAGGAGGGAAGTACAGCTGAGTACGTATTGTGCAGTGGAAACTGGAACTAGAACTGGAATTGGAACTGGAACACTGAAAGTCGCCTCGCTGCTGCTTCCGTCAGGTCCGTCAACAACTAGCAAGGCGGACTAGGCGACTAGTCGCAGGAACTACACAGTAACAGGAAAGACAGCCTGTTGAGTTGTCGACTTTTACTCCACGGCCCATCAGTTGCTATTCCGTTTCCTTTCATTATTGTTATATTTATTTTCGTCCTTTGAACGCACTCCTTAACCTAAACCCATTGCGACTATCATCAAGAAGCCCCATCAAGCTCTGCTTTTGCGGTTACCAGCTAGCCCACCTTGGCGCGCGCGCGCGCGTGTGTGTGTATGTGTGTGTGTGTATGTGTGTGTGTGTATGTGTGTGTGTGTATGTGTGTGTGTGTATGTGTGTGTGTGTGTGTGTGTTTGTTTGTGGGTGGTCATCGCCTCTCCCACTGCCGCGACAGTCAGCATGCGGTTCTACGTGACATGCAGATCGGTGAAAGGTCCAGGGCGACCTGTCCCTGCAGCTGTGGCCGGACGACGGCGGTGAAAGTGGGGAGAACTGTCTTGAACCAGGCAATGGTGTGTTCAAAGCTCCCTCTGGGCTTAATCTGCCAATCTGGGAACCATGCCCGATCCCTTTTTTCTTTCTTCCCACACCACGGCACCACCCCATCTATTCCTATTTTCTCCCCATCATTCGAAACTTTCTAGAAGGAAATTAACTTTCAAACCGTTGCTCTGCCGTAATCACAGGCCAGGTTTAGGACCCTCTCCCGAAAGGGGTAAATCGAAGTTCAATTCCCTACGTACCGTATTATTATTATTCTCCGTCCCGTCGAACAGCCGGATCGCCTTGGGTCAGTCGCCCGCCACGGTTATTTTTCCTGTTCGTAATCTGGCTCCTTCTTCCGATCTAGCTCCAGCACAAGATTGTCCTGAAATTTCCAGCAAGGAGGGCTGTCAGCGAATGAGGAGAATCGAGATTCTCCCGACCGACAACTGTCTTGTCCGACCCCAGGGGCCCAGAGAACAACCCATGGCGTTGATTATGACCTCAGAACAGGAGGGTAAGTTAATTAGGTACCATGCCAGAGATGATCGATCCTAGGCGAACGTTTCACGCGGCTTGATGCCTGATCGCGGCCAAACACTTGAGCTGGGACACTTGTGCAGGTTGCACGATACCTACATGGTCACCTGTTTAAGTTGAACCATCTTCCCTCCTCCCCCTGTGAAGGCGTCATCACCTGCAGGAACTCCTAGCAAGGGGGAGGGGGAGGGGGGGAAGGGGCAGAAAGAGGCCCTTTGAGAACTGGCCCTGGGGTAAGCAGCACTTAAGCTTCCGAGACAGTGATGCGGTCACCGGTCTAGTTCCTAGCCTCGATTTCATGCACGATCAAAGAGGGGAAATGGGAGGAGGGGTAAGGGGAGGGGGGTGGAAAAGGAACACCTTGACCTCTACGTTAATTGTATACTTGCTAGGGTATAGGTCCAGGTGGCTGCTCTATCTTATTAGCGGGTCGAAATCTCCTGAGCAAGGCGCGTTGTCCGACACGGTTCCTGTTTCCGCCAGGATCAATCAGCATCATGGCGCGGCCAGGAGATTCGGGGAGGGGACAGAGAAGATGGATGAGGAGATTGACACAAACATAGATGTGCCGGAGAAAGGTCAAATGAATGACCATGGGAAGCTCTCATTCAATGAATCTATCAATCAAATCAAACAACAAACCAGAAAACTGCGAATGTTAACGGTAACATCACCCCGGTCTACCCATATTTCATTCTCCATTTGGATCGGCATCAATCCGTACCACCCCACCACCATCAGGAGGAGGAGGAGGAGGAGGAAAAGAAGGAGGAGTGCGAGGGCAGCGCGGATTTTCCCTCCATAGTTTGACTGAGTATAGTGCTTAGTACGGTACGCTCTTTCTCGCACGGCCAGGAGAAATGAAAGCCACGTTGTGGAGCCGAGCGCTGACGGTGACCTTCTGGTGCCGCCAGCTTCTTCGGGCGTGAGAGTTCACTGGAGCCACTTGGGGCACGCTGTGGAAACGTGTAAAGTGGTAGTCTCCGACCAACAGGGCTTAGTTCGACTAATTAGTTACAAGGGAAATCGGGAAAATAAAATGTAATAAAAATAAAGAGAATAAAAAATTATTTTTATGAATATTCCCAATTTATTATTACTACCGGGCACTAGGAGCAACTACTAATAATAAGAAACATTAATTTTAACTAGGTAACTAAACCAGCTAAGCTAAACTACCGGGTCTTCCTGGGAGAAAAAAGGAATGTCTTCGAGTAGCAAATAAATAAGAAAAGAGAGCCACGCGCCGCATTTACTCTTAGAGAAAGAGAGAGAGAAAAGGAAAAGTGAAAGAGCAAAGAAGAAAATACTTCAGAAGAAACCGAAAAGGCAAGAAGAACGAAATAGCGATAGAAAGTTTCGGGTGCTGCTGTATAATCGATACCAACCTGATACTCTTCCTTACCGATTTATTACATCTCCTCCACTATTCTTCGTCTTCTTTACTTCATCAACCTGACATCGCCTGCCTGCCTGTCTGCCTGCCTGGTACTTTATTCCTTCCTTTGCCTCTTGTCTCCTGTCGTTCTCTGATCCGAAACCAAACTGACATATTCTTTTAATTTCCCCCCCCCAGTTCAACTCTACCAACCAATACTCCAGCACCCTCTTCTTCATTTCCTCAGGTTTCCGTGGCCATTCCTGCGTGAATTCCATTTGCGGTGGTGCAATCGTCTCCGATTCCTCCCTTCAGCTCCTCGAATATCCCCGAGAAGCTCCGTCGAAGAACACCTTTGGGTGTATTTGTTTGACGCCCACGGATCTCCCGACGATCCCCTGCTTCAGTGCGCAGTGTTTGCTGGTAACGAGCTGTGCTTAATTCCACTTGCAAATCTGTCAGCCAGTTTTCTCTTTCTCCGTAAGTTCCTCTCCGTGCGCTCGAATCGCGCTCCGCCCACCATCAATTTCCCTTCGCCGCCTTTCCTGAGTGAGGGGATCTCTCCCAGGCGCACTCTACAAGCCGGTTCTCAGGCGCATATTTTCGGAACGGGCGCTTGCCCATCTTTGCTTTTGCAGAGTGGGTGTTCTCGTTGGCGCATCGTCTTCTGTTGCAATTTCTTTTTCTGGTTTGGCGCGCAATGTTGTTGTTGGTTCAATATCAAATTGCCTGCGCAAAAAAAAAGAAAAAGAAAAAGAAAAAGAAAAACCACAAAAAAATAACAGACGAGATCCAATCACTTGCGCGTCCTGCGAAGAATGTCGGGAAAGCTGGTCCAGTCGAACGCAGAAGATCTCATCTTACATTATATCATTGTTTATGCGCAGCTTACTAACCTCTCACAATCTTGTCACACAGTGCAGAAACAATTCACCTTGTCGCTGTTCTTACTACGACATACCCCTCCTCTCTGCAGACGCTGTGATTGTTGTCATTGAAACCCGCCGAAACAAACCGAGTGTGCCGACATTGGCGTGTTGCAACCCCGGCTAACACCCCCCGGTGATTTGAGAATCCTTGCAAAATCGCTGCAAAAGACGTGGCGACACACTTTTCAGTGATTTACACAACCTCGGATTTTGTTGAAGTGCGCTTCAACTGTCAAGTATCTCGAGACTTTCAGTGTCGCTGCAGCCATTCGACCAGATTCCGATCGGTGTCTCGGATACTGCACCAACAGGACTGTTCCCACCATCTCGCAATACCACGGCTGCCGGAGTTACAGTCGTCGCTTGGAACCCCGAGGAGCAACGTCGTGGAGACAATCTACGGCTCAGCACAGAACGCCTTTCGTGGAGACCTGATCTGTCCCTGACCGCCGTCTTATCACTTCCCCGCGGGGTCGGGTCATGGACATCACAAACATCCTAAATAGAAAAGGTTCTACCGCCATGGTTGCCGCAGACACACCCTTCGATCCAGCGCACCTAGTCCCGAACCCTGGTATGGATCATTCGCCAAAGATGAAGGCGGAGCCTGGCGCCGAGTCGACCGACCAGCAGGTTCTTTCGTACCCCCATCATGCTCAGCTGAGTCAAATGCCGAGCATGCAGCAAGATTTGCGCTATGCACCGCAAGCTCATCCCAACCAAGGGTTGCCTCTTTTACAAAACACCTTCATTCCCGGAGCATACGCTGGCGCTGGTCAATTACCAGCCAATGTTCCCCAGGGACGGCCGGATCCACCTCCAAAGACCTTCCACTGTGGAACTTGCAGCAAGGGATTTGCTCGTCGTAGTGACCTTGCACGTCACGGTAAGCACATCCTATCCATCGTCAAGCAGTCGGTGACTCTCTAACGCCACTGCAGAGCGCATCCACTCGGGCATCAGACCCCACGCTTGTGATTGGCCGGGGTGCGGTAAACAATTTATTCAGCGCTCGGCCCTGACCGTGCACGCTCGCGTCCACACTGGCGAAAAGCCACACATGTGTGAAAGATGCGGCAAGGTATGCATCATGTGGTTCCTTCAATACGCCCCACGCTCGCTAATCTTTTATCTTGATATGTTAGCCTTTTAGCGATTCGTCGTCTCTTGCTAGGCATCGCCGGATCCACTCCGGAAAGCGTCCTTACAAGTGCCCCTATGCGAATTGCCAGAAGACGTTTACTCGCCGCACTACGCTGACACGGCATCAAAATCACCACACTGGTACTATTGAAGAGGCCGCTGCTGAGACTGAAGCCAATTTGAGGCAGAACAAGGAGCGGGCGAGAGTCTCAGGAGATATGTTCTCTGACCATGGCTCGGTTCATTCGACCCCTTCCCCAGCGCATCATCCTGTTTCGCCTGTTGGCGATCTGCCTCCGCTAAATATGCCCCGCTCCGACTACTACATGACCAACGGTTCCATCCCGCCTCATGTCCGAGGTGGCTTCCCCCAGGTTAGCCCCCGAGCGTCTCCCACGGCCACGTCGCCCTCCTTGTCGAGCTATGGCAGTGCTCCGCATGTTCGACCTTCAATGACTTCGCATCCTTCGGGCTATGGGCCCCCTCAACCCCTTGAGCCGCCTGCCAACAACGATCACCGGCCCAACAGCGTCAGTGGTAGCCCGCATATGACTAGCTTGGGCTGGGCTTCTCCGTCTCATTCCAGCATCCCTTCCCCCGGCTCTGCTACCGACTTTGGTTATCCTGAGCCGAGCGGTGCGGCGTATGCGAGCTCTATGCCTCCCCACATGTACTTCCCCAGCTCGACCATCAGACGACCCGCCAGCACCGAACCGGACAACTATGAAATGAAGCCTAGACTGGGTGACAGCGCATGGTCCACTCCGGTTTAGTGTGGCAGTCAACTGGATTGCTTTAACAAACGGCAGGGCCGTATGTTTGAAGCATTCAAGTGACCGGAAGCCATTGAGTTCTCTAGAGGGATGACTTGCACACCTTACCACCGGTGGAGTCAAACATCCAAGTTTGCTTTCCTATTTCCTTTGTTACATTTCCTTTGTTGCGCGATGAATTTCCTAGCATTTCCCACATTGTTACTCATCTTTCACATCATCATCATCATCATCATCATCATCATCATCATCCTGGCATCTGTTTGTTTCTGTTGATAGGTTTGCTAGCAACATCATCATAGCATACACCAGTGTGGGTCTGGAAAAGAGCACTGGATGGAGTCCTGGCTGATTGTTATCGTTGTCGGTTTCCCCTTCCCCCCTTATTTGTTGTTTTTTCCCAATGGCGAAATGACCCGGACGAAGCATAGATAGAGTTGGAAAGGTTGTTTATCATTTGGCTCAAGGCCCGGCTGTATGGGGTTTCTATGGGTGTCATTTGTGTCTTCTTCGGTCTGCACTTTTTTCTTATCTATCATCCATCTGCATTGTTTTATACCTAATTTTCCTCTCATCCGCATTTGTTTTTGCCTCCCTGTTTCCTTGTTTCATTTGTTGTGGTTTTGCATTTTCATTTGTCACTCCTTCCCGTACCTTGCCCTTCCTCTCATCGGCATCAATCCCGATTTGTAGATATCGATTGCTAGCATACTACATACATACTTACTTTCCCCACTAACTACTACACAATCAATTGTGTTCTCGAGATTTCATCCTATTTTGCTCTTGGGGACGCTCTTCTATTCGGCGTTGCAGTCACTGTAGTTGCTCCGTCGATGTGCATAAACAACCCGCGATGACGTCATCTAAGCTTGGTAGTACTATAAGCATAAGCAGACTTCCTCCCTCTGCCCCAAAGGCATAAAGCACATCATCGCTGAAACAATGATCAGCATATAGAGGCCTGAATTCCTCTCCTAATTCCATTTTGTGATTGTTATTAAGGCTTTGAACAAAGCTACCATAGCATAAGGGCCGCGATATCGCAAACCGATACATAGAGAACAATGAAAATGGACATGGTGGAAAGAATGAAGCTTGATTTTGAGAGAGAGAGAGAAAGAGAGATCAAACAGTTCAAACCGAAAATCAGAAGCCTGCTAGGATTGCCTAATTGATATCAAATGGTTTACCGCGATAAGAGAATAATGTAGAAGGAGGAAGAGAAAGGAAAAAGAAAGGGGGGTGGGTGGGATGAAGTAGGAAAAGAGACGGTTCTTGGGATGGCTTGGTGCTTCCTGTTCCCCCGTGCCTGCGTGGGTGCCTGGGTGGGCTGTGAGGCGTTGAGTTTTGGGGGGTTCAACTGCCTCGGATGTACAGTGTCATTCATTCAGCCCTTTCTGAGCCGAGATTAAGAACCAGAGGGGTAGGGGGATGTCACATGACCGAGTACAGGACAATGTGATCGCCGACTGGTCAAGCAGGGAGGTTCGGGTTCGGGTTCGGAGGAATAGTTTTCGGGATCCTGAGTGCTAAATTTCGGGCATTGAGAGGCACTTTGGGGAGGTAGATAGGAGACAAGAGAAGGATTTCTTTTACTGGCGTCTTTTTCTCTCTCTAGTTCCTAGTAAGGCGATCCCATGGTTGGAGGTGTGGTGTTCATCAAGCCGTTACCGGGCACTTGAGCGGGACATGAGCACACGCACGCGGGGTTACTGCTGCTGCTGCCACCGCTGCCTAGGGCCCGGGCGAGGACATTGGCTGCGAAAGAGGTGATAGGTGTGGTAGCTGTGGTTGAGGCACCTCCTTCACGGGAGGAAAGGAGGCCGAACCGGAGGAAGACTTCGAAGGTGGTGACGAGGATGGAGACGCAGATGAGTACGATGATGATCCATGTTTGATCTGTGGTTTGGTTGTCAAGGTTATTATCAGATCTTATATCTGGAAGGGGAGGGAAGAAGATTGTGCAAAGGGTGGGTTGGGAAGGTGTCGGTCGGCCTTACGGGAGGTTTTGTTGTCGGCAATGGAGTCGGAAAGAATCTCTGCCAGGTCAAGGAAGACTTTACACCGCTCGTTCAGAACTTGAATTCGAGGCTTGATCTCGAGGTACTCGCGCACAGCGATATAGAGGGGATATAGGGTCGGTTCGCTTTCCCAGAAGAAGTTGGGGACGTCGAGAACGTTGGATGCTGGTTTGGGTTGTCAGTGTCTGTGACTTGAATGGAGGGGGTTGGCTCAACTGCGAACAAACGTACACAGGTTCACTTCTACGCGACTCTTGAACAGACTACCCAGAATGCGGAACACTTCGTCTCGTTTCATGCCAAGATTGCCTGTCATGGCGAGTCGGCGGGGGACGTCCTTGGCCTCGGCCATCTGGCGAGCCATAACTTCTTCGAAGAAGCAGAGCTTAGTGCTTTGTGCGATGCCATGACTGATGGCTAACTTGATCATGTGGTCGCCGCTTCGAAGGGTGATCATGTCGTTGTAAACGCGTGGGCGAGAAATCTCCGTCGAGTACTCGAAATGAAACTCCTCCGTCTCAAAATCTTCCTCCTGCAGGGGCAAGGTCGCCAACGGGATGGGAGACCCGGTCACGGACGAGGTTGCAAACGCCAAATCGGCGAGGAGATCCTTCTCCTGTTTCTCGGTGAAGTTCCAGAACACCACTACTCCGTAGCTGAACACAAACATCTCCGCGACATTATACGGCAGACGTGTGGCTGCCGGTGCCGCCACGGCCGTCGCGTCAGCTGGAGCTTGATGACCAGCGCCATCGACGTCGCCCATGAAGGGTTGCGCCTCGGAGCCAGGCACGGAACGATGTTCCTCTTGTTCCTCCTGTTGCGGGTGGTGCTCTTCCTCGTCCCCGTGTCGTTGAGCCTCACTGCGCTGCTGATGCGACGACCGGTGTTCATGACGTCCGCCAACAACCGAATGCTCCTCCGCGTCCACCAGATAATCCTCGTGATGATCCCGCAACTCATTGCGCTCAATCTCCTCATCAAGGATCGACTTCCCGCCCGGCTTCTTCACCATGGGGCTACTCCTCAGCCTGTACCCATCCAGGCCCGGCAACAGCGGCAGATGATACGCCGTGTACAAACAATCATCATACAGCTTCGTGCGGCCGCCATGCCTCTCCTTCACAAACGAGGCCAAGGAGCTCATCTTGTACGCCTGCGCGGTGCAGTAGGCCGTCACCCGCGCCAGCTTCTCGGCCCGGCGCGCCTTGGGCAGACGCTCCGCATAACTCTTCGCCTTCTCCGGCGCGACCTTTCGCTTGCGTAGCAGCTCCTCGTCCGCCAGCAGCGGCGCGATGTCGTTGTCCACGCCAAAGTCCGCGCCGTCCAGCCGCATCTTCTTCTGCGCGAGCAGGGTCTGTCGCACCGCCTCGGGGTCCAGGTTCTTGTCCCTGGCGACGCGCTGCACGAACTCCTCGTCCACGGCCTCCTCGTCCTCCTCCTCGCCTTCGTCCTCGTCGTCTTCCGGTAGCTTCCCGTCCGCTTCGGGGAGCAGGACGAGCTTCTCGCTGACCTTCGTGGTGCGGGGCGGCAGCCGCGGTTGGGCTGCGAGGCGGCGGATCGTCGCCGCCGCCGCACTGCCGCTGGCTGCGCCAATACTGCCGCCGCTGGAGGAGCCCGCTCCGCCGGCCGCGGCCCCGATCAGTCCGCCGGCGGCTGATGCGATGCGGGAGCGTGGCCGCGTCCGGGCGCTCTGCGGCGGGTACCGTTGTTGCATGGAGGGCACGTCGGAGGTGTATTGGAGGACGTTGTCGACGGTGATGAAGCGGGTTGCGGGGGAGCGACGGCGGCGGGGTTGGGAGGAGGTTTGTTGATCGCGCGAGTCGGTGACCTAGTATCCAGGGAGTGTACAGTAAGTATCTACGTGTAGGGAACTGGAAGTCCGGATGAGAGAGCGACAAGGCTGATGGCCACTTACCAGGACATGGGGACTTCGTTGTCCCAGCCCTCGGCCTCTTGAGGGATTCATGATAATGAGTAGGTAATCTGAGGTATCAAGGACAGCTCCTGCAGAATTGAAGAGCCTTTCGCTCCGGGACCAGTGATGAAGCAGTGATGACAGTAGCTGTAATGATGCGCGAGCAATACACTTTGATTCTAGACCGGAGACCCCACGATCCGTTCAAAAACAGCCGGCTAGCCGACAGGGAGGAGCGTGAAGAACTATCCGCAACGCGCAGCAGCTCGAAAGTCGGTCACTCTCGAGCCCCACACCATGGAAAAGCAATTCAGAGCCAGGTAGTAATAACCTTCAATTGTACTTCAAACTGCACTTGTGAATGTTTTGGAGAATAAGGCCCTCCTGAAGATCGACGAATGATAGCTGAAATGGCGAGAGATGTCTCGGTGCTTTGCCCCGGGGAATATTTCGTGATTCAGTTCGGGTCGCCGATAAAGCACCAGCACCAGCAGCTAATGCTGCTGACCGCCTGCTGAAAAGGACGGATAGATGACGTCGGTCAGAAGCCCGCCCGACATACCAGACAGTAACGATACTGGTATTGATTACAAAAAACGCGGAAAGATAACGGTACTGGGATTATAGGAATGATGATTGAGACAGCCACGTGCACCGGGTGGGGGGCTGTTCCCTGATCAGGATTAGCGGGGCTTGTCCATGAATCATCCAGGGTTGATCCGGGGTAAATTTGACTTGCTCAGTAACTTCCCCTCAATTGAATTGTACTCACAATCCATGTATGTACTCAGCAGATACGCATGTTTCATTTTGGGTGACACTTGGGACATAAATCTTGTGCAAGGTACAGTACAAGTACAGTACCTGAGCTAGGTTCGGGAGCACAAGAGAGTAGATAAAAGAGGGGAGACGAATGGAGCGTCCCTGGAAACATTACTCCGAAAACCACTAACCTACCTCTCTCCGAGTCTCCTCCCCTCTTTCTTTCTCCTCTTCCTTTTGTGACTTGTAGTGGGGTTAAGAAACTGCAGGGAACCCAGCCAGCACCACAATGTCAGCTACACGCACGAAGGACAAAGTGGCTTGCGACCCAGATTTAGCATCGTGCATGACCTGACGTTCTCAATTCCCTCGTTACCTGAGTACCTACACGAGAAGTAAGGCAGGGAAAAGCCGAATGTACCTCCGTCAGGCTGCCTCCGGGTTCGCTCGCCTGCCAGGCCAGGCATACCCATCCGATCCCTCCGATTGCTGCTGCTAATCCTCGCGACCCACCTCCCTTCCCATTGACTTTTCCTCGTTCACCACAGGTTGGAAGGCATGGAACTTAGATAAATCTAGTGAACTTACGAACTTACAGGAAGACTAGACGACTGGCGTATCAATCAGTATTCTCATTGGTTTCCTATCTCGTGTATTTCTACCGCTCTTCCTCCCCGAGGCTGCTGCAAGTTTGTCCTACGCAGGACTAACTCCTTGCAGCTGCCTTGCTTCCCGGCCGCCATGACAAGTCCGGCCGCCGAGTTCGCATCATAGTATTAACAAATCATTCCACTTACATGCACGGGCGCTACACCCAAGAGATAGCGACTGCGTGATGCAGATATGCATATGAACAAGACAAAGGAAAAGAACGATAAATTGAAAACATCAAAACCATGCAAGGAAAAACATTAAGCATCGCAGACGCCCCCGAAGCATTCTGGTGATCTGCTTCGTTATGCAATCAACATACAGTGTCAAAAATCGGTGGCAACGATCATTGGCCACCTGAAGGTCCGTGCTGTGAAAGATCCGGGCCTTCTATCCAAGACCAAACGTGAGACATCGAGTCCACGGCGATATCCAATGCGCTGTCATCAGTGTCAGTCCCTCAGCCGTCGGTCTTCGTCCCAGATCTCCTTCTTCATCCTCTGCAGCCGAACGTGTTGTTTCTGAAGGCGGTCAATGTCTACTTGAGACGGTTTCGCTTGCGACGCTAATGATTCATGAAGCGCGTAGTACTTGGCATAGTATTGTTTAAATTTCCGCGACTTCTCATGTAGCTGCTGCAAAAGCAGTTCACGACTAAGGGGTGGCGAAGCACTGCCAGTACTTCCACTGGACGTGCTTACTGCCCGGCGCCTCTTATGCTCCAAGTCGCCAGTAGTCCGACCCTGGCCTGGAGCATGGGATGAAGGTCGATCTAATTCTGCCTTGCGTTTTAATGGATTCGCAAGCTCAGACGGCTTGGCCACCCCATTCGGCTTTGTCACTTTGCGAATTGTCGGGGCAGCCGCTGCGAGAGGTCGGGTTGGCTTGGAGATTTGAGTGATGAGCGGAGAAGAGGAAGAACTAGACGAATTATTCTGGCTTGATGAACGGCTGCGACTCGGGACATCGGAGGCATTCGTTGGAGGCGACGATCCAAGCGGCGACGGTTTCACGGGGGACTTTTGGGCAGGCGGCCGCGCGGAGGGGGGTCTCTTCGCAGCAGGAGGTTTGCTAGCAAGTTGAGGAGAAGAATCGGCTTTGATTAAAGGGTCCGGCTGCTCCACCTTGGGTGTCGGCACATGCGACAATTCCCTGTTCGAAGCTGTCTCAACCGGTTTGCCGGCAGGCTTTGTTTGTGGTTGAAGTTTGGAGGGCTCTGCCGGAGGCTTCTCTGCGGACGAGGCGTCAGGCATATCCGTGTCGTCCTCATCAGAATCGTGTACAAATTCCGCTGATTTGAACTTGGTATCCGGTTTTCCGGCGGGTTTCCGCTCAGCCTTCTTTGTCACACGACCGGTCAATGTACTATTTGCTGCAGCCTTGACTTTAGGGGTCGAGCGCTTCAGCGGAGTATCCTTGTCACCAACCCGCTTCTTAGCCACGGTAGGCACAGACCTGGGAGCTGATGTAGGCTCCCCAGCTCTGGGGGTGAGGCCAGATGCACTGCCTTTGTCGGTATCTTGGCCGGTGGTGTAGCCGTCTTTGCCATTGTCATCGGACGGTTGCACTTGTATCCGAGGGGTCAGAGCCTTCTTGATGGGGCCTGTTCGCAAGTCCAGCCGCGAAAGGCACTTGCCCTTACCCCGTTCCTCTTTCGGCAGAAGCATCTGCCAGAGCTTGTCCGAGCGGGAGATCCGCATGCGATCGAATGCAGAGATAGCATTGTCAATTGCCTCCTGCCGGTCTTCCTGAGACGGGTACGGAAACTTCCAGACGTCGAGATCTTTGTAGGATTTATCTCTCAGGTCGTACTTCTCCGGGTTGATTCGGTTCTCCAGGCCATATTTCCGGGCCAAAGTCTCGCAGTCTTCGAGGGAGGAACGGGTCTGGCGCGCCAGGAACTGGGCGGACACGGCGCGAATAGCGAGGAGGTGGATGAAGGGGACCTTGAGGGCTTCGAGGCGGATCCGGTCTTTATTCTGAGAAAGAGGTGCAGAGGTGGGCGTGAGAGGGGTGAGGGGACCTCCCGGAGATCGAGCCACTCCCAGAGCCGGGCTCGACGATACCGACCGATTGGCAGCAGTGAGAAACCGATCTTTCTCCAATTCCACTTTGCTGCGAGCCAGGCGGGCGGCCTGCTTGCCGGTGCTAGACCGAGTGTCCCCCGCCCGGAGAGCTCGTACATCATCACCAGCATTGATGAAGTGTGTTTTGCCCTTTCCCCTTTCAAAGGCATTCAAGCTTTGCTCGAGGTTGGCCAATGCCTGATCTGTGGCTGCGGTAGCCTCCTTGGCCTTCTGAACCTCCAAGCTATGACTCAAAACACCCGAAAAATATAGGTTCTCTTTATCAGCGGCATTGCTAGTGTATAGCTCGGACCGGTGCGTTTCGAGACGGGAGTGGAACGAATGGGATTTGGTGCCGTAGTGGAGGGACGGATGTTTTCCGAGGCGAAGCCGAGCTGTTTGGTCGTTGCGAAGGCTCTGAATAAGTTCGTCGAGGGTGCTCTGCGCGAGATTCAGTCGCATTATTTGAGGTGGTTTGGCCACCGCATCATTGCTATGGTTGTCTCGACGGAGAGACAACCCGATCTCGGGAACCTCCAGGGCGGACATGAGGAAGCCGTAGGAGAAACAATGCGGGTTGAGGGAGAGACAAGAGACGTTCGAGAGGACGAAAGGCGTCGAAAAGATGTTGACAGTGGGTAGTAGCTGAGGATGTGAACTCCTCTCGTCTTCAGGATCCAAAACAGAGGCGGATGGCAGCGTGGGTGCTGCAGGTCAGCGGCCGAATGCACGGGAAGACGAAGCAAGACAATCCGCCATAGATCGAGTAACAAAGAGTGGGAAGAGGATCGGAGGAGTTTGCAGGCTATAGAGCAAACGGGAATGGGAAGTTAACAAGACCCATGGCAAGGAGGTTGGTCTTGTAGTAACTAGGTATGTTTTTTTTTTTTTTTGTAGAGAGCGTCACAAGTGGGAGGAAAGGAGGAGGGAGGGGGAGGAGGGAAAGAGAAAGAAAGATGAGATGAGATGATGCCAAAGGAACGGGGATGCGAGTGTAAGGCGGCCTTGGAGCAGAGAGCGTAAAGAGAGCGTCAGGACCAGAACTAAGAAGTGGGGAGAAAGCGAAAGGCGGTATGGTAATGGGAAACCTGGTATTGTACCTTTTTATTTCCTTTTTTCTTTTTTTGTTTTATTACTCTTTGGGCCAAGTATTGTAGAAAGAGATCCAAAGAGAGCGAAGGAGGGTGTGTCAAGGGCCCACTGAAGGTTAATGAAATCACCCGGCAAAGAACAATAGTCAGGAATTAATTAAGAGCTTTCAAAGGGAAAGAACCATTAATAATAATAGCACCTTTGGGGGGTAGGAAAGGGCAAGGAATTATTATTATTTATCCCTCAAAAAATGAACCACTAACTACACCCGACCAGTTGAGACTAGGAGAAGGTTAGGTACGAACTAAACCTGAGCATCAGCATAAGTTAGGTGCAGTGATTAGGAGCCATCCCATCCATCATACGAAGCACCAATCGAAAATTACCACTGCTGTTGAGCTTGTGCGGAATAATTGCCTAATGCCTACCAAGTGATGTTATACTACAATAGCATTTTATTCTCACTACTTGAAACCAAAC